GCCTAAGTCTCTGACCTAACTGACTGTGTTCATAGCCTAAGACTGTGTTAGACCTTGCCCTAACTGACTACCAGCTGCATCACGTTCGCTCCCTCGGACGACCACGTTTCGGGAAGACGACCACATGGACGACCCCCAACGGCGGCGGCCCAACGTCCGGCCACACGGGTGATCACAGCACCACCGGTGAACAGGTGAGACGCTGTGCTGTGCAAGGCCATTCGCAAGGCCTGAGGGGGTGCGCCTTACCCCGAAGTTGAAACCTCAAACACAGACAACGAGTCGAACAATCTCGGAAAGAGATTCCTCGATATTCGAATTGTGCATTAGTACATTCATGGTGCATTCAGAAAATTATGCGCTCTTGTTGTGGTGCCGTGCACCTTTGAACTGGGTGGAAAAAAACAGGACGGCGATGTAAGAGCAAACATTCACAGAAAAGTCGGACTTGGTGAGTGTCAATCACTTTTTCATCCCCTTCCACAGAAGCACGGTGCATTCCGTGCGAAGCTGACAGGATGAAATCGAAGGAACTCCTCATGTCATCAGTGGAGACCTCATGTAACTGTTCATGGCTTGTGCCTGGCTGATTCTTGGAAGCTCAGGTGGGGTTGTCTCGTCGGAAAATCTTCTTGGAGCGAAGAAGCTGGGGCGCTGGCAGATGTAACCCTAGGGCGATGCAGGCATTGATTGCTGCCGCTGGTTCAAGGTCCTTCATATTGCTTCCTTTCACTCACCGATTCATTCGGAAGGAGTGCGATGTCATCATCGCTTGGCTTGTTTCTTTGTCGTCATCGCTCGAAGAATCAGTGTTCTTGAGCCTCCATCTGCCCTAAAGGCAAATATTTGCATTGAAGCTAACTTGTCTGTTCCTTTGGATCGTCATTGATTTCATGAGGCAGCTCTTGTTGTTCATCAACTTCAGTTGGCCTTTTAACCCTTGTTCAGTCGTTGACCAAGTGCTCCAGAAGCTCCTGAAGCTTGGTGATCATAGGCCGAACGGACAAAAGCTGCTGGGTCTAAGAGGTTTGCAAGCTGGGCAAAAGGACTAATATGCTTGTCAATACGTTACTTACAGTACCTTCGAAGCACGCCTCGTTCACTTTGAGCCCCCAAGGTCCTAAGGCCCCTGTGACCCAAAGTCTGACTCTATCCACCCTCTGCGAGACTCTGCAGACAGCAGGCTCATTGTGAAACTTGTTCTTGCAGGTGGGGCAAGCCTCGCAGCACAATCAAATCTCATGGTTTCAGGCTTGGATAGGGGATAGCGGTTTGACACAAGTCCTTTAGAATCATTTTGAGCATCGTTGACCGGAAAGCGTCCAAATGTGGCTCCTGGCTACTCCTGGCTTCTGGAAAATCCTCTGAAATCTGCATATAGCTTCAACCAAAGTGTCACAATGGTTGGAGGTCATACTCATACAGGTGATATTGTTTTCTTACGACTGGTGAGCTCTCCCACCTGTCGAAGCGTTTAGTCAGACCCTGGACCAACGCACCAAGAGCGTCAAATCACCACCCGAATGGCTCCGCCGGAGTCAGGGACCCGCTTCAAGAGGACTTGAAGAGATGATGGCAACCTGTGAGAAACCGAAGAAGAATAACCTTCTCACATAACTGTTTTGCTTGATGACTTGGTGCCATACCGTTTCCCATGTGTTGGGTCTATCCTATTACCAGTAACAGTGGATGATGATGGTTGGTAAAGACCTTGCTCGAAAATAGTGATAATTTTGTTTACTGACTGTTACAGGTAACTTCGGACAGACCCAACCATATGTGCTTCTTGAATCTTCTTGATGCCTCGTGTCTCTTCGTCTTCGTGCCTCTTTTTGCCACCCAAATGAGGGATCCAAAGCCGTCTGAGACTTCACCGAACACCTGTCTGTCGACCGACCCTTACAGCTATAAACTCGAATATCCTATCCTGTCCTGAGCTGGGTCGGTGAGGAGTGACCAGGGTTCGACCAAGCGCACCGGGGTTCAACACTTCCCACCCACTGATGGAACCAGTTCTCTGGAAGACAAGACTCACCCAGTTGTTCATCGTCCGAACTGATGCTTTCCTGAGAAATCTTTGCAATTCTGCCGGCTTGGTCTCGGATAATTCTTCCCTCAACAGGAACTCCAACAGTAGACAGTAGACTTCTTAGCAAACTTGCAAACTCGGACCAACGCACCCTGGCCCGGTAGATTTTCCATTTGACACCAAGTTTAAAGGAAAAAACACATGGTGTCCTTAAAGCCAACTGGTGCGGAACAATCACGACACCCCAGGTGCTTTTGCTTCGTTGCCCCTACCTCCTTTTCGCAGCCAACTACACGAACCCAACACCGCCGGATCCGGATCCCAGCCTTTCTCGGAATGGTCTGCGTGGTGAGTTGGATCACGTTGTAGCAAATGGGGCAATCCTCATGAGACGTTGTGGGAATGTGGGAACACTTGGCAAAAACAAACGCATCACTCAGCTGGTCAACAGTCTCACCCCTGTCAACTTGGATCAGACATCTGTCAAGACAAAGATCAAATATCTTATTTCAAAAAAATGAACTTCAATGTCGGTCATGCTTGGGACTGTTGCCCCCCATTCAAAAAAGGAATGATCAGTTGTTATCTTTGCACACGCCTAGGTTTATCATGGTTTGCATTGCCTTTCTGGAGCTTCAGTTGTCTGGCCTTGGCCGCTCTCATGCAGCTTTCGGAGGCATCAGTGAAGGCAAACAAGTTGAACATCTACCGCCCTACAGGGGTTTCCTGCTGAGCGGCTGACAAGTCCGGTGCCCATAAGATTCCGGAAACTACCTGCCGTCCCCAAACAACGTGCGCTTTGGAGGGTCCTTGGTCTGAGTCTAGACTTTGCGAGCTTTCAGCTTTACTTCTCCCAGCCAATCGAGCCCTGCCTGACTCCGTGGACTCTGTATGTCTGACAGCTGGGGCATCGCGTGGTTTTTCGGCACCAAACACGATTCCGTCCTTGACGCCTTTGAAGAAAAGCGCAAAGCTCCGTGTCCACCTGGGGGAGCTCGCGGAGTGGTGCAAGGAGCTCGCAGAATCTCGCAAAGCTCGCACTGGTTTGGACGGACCGAAGACGGACTGAGGCTCACGGTTGCCGAAACGAAAAGAAACATGTTTCTGGGGGTGAAAGCTTTGCATCACTTACTTGTGCTTTGTGCTTTGTACGGAATGAGTCCGGAATGAGGCAATGGATCCAAAGGAATCTCTTCTGGGGGCTCATTTCCTCATTCCCTACGAGTCGAATCAGTGAAAGTATATCATTTCGACAACAAAACACGGAACAAACTGAAGAAGCATCCTTTGTTCACTGTTTTGGGTACTGGTTGGCATTATCTAGCTGCGTTGCTGTTGCGACAGCTGTGACCTTGCAATGGATGAACACAACAAACTCTATGTCTATTGCTACTCTGGCACCCTCACTGGCCTCGTCCACCAACACACAGCAATTTCCGTTGACCATATCCCAGTGGATAATGGTGGTTAGGTTGCAGGACGTTCTCGGGCGTTCTCAAAAATCGTGATAATCCTTGACCGACTAACACCCTAAGAATCCCTAAGATTACAGGGATCTTGTTGTGTCATTCACTTGGATCTTAGTCACTACCACTCAAATAAACTCAAGTATAGTCACCCCCATATCCTTGCACACAGAATAGCAACATTGGGTCCTGAAGACATCTGAAGACCAGCTTCCAAGAGCCAAGCTTCTTGAAGGTCAAACGAACCTCTCTGCCAACCGGATGAAAGCTGTTTTTGTTGGTGTCACCCGCTGATGAAAAAACAACACTCACATGGGAAAAAAAAAAAACGGTTCCTGCAACAATGGTTGCTCAAACATACTTCGGCGGCACAAAAAAAAGCCACCTTTGCGAAGGGCAAATAGACCAAAAAACCTGCAGTTTCTGGATTTGATGTTTGCCACACAATCTCATCGCATCCAAATGCTTTGTGCCGTCCAAAGTGCATCAACACTGCTTGCCCCACTGGCAAAGGCCGTTGTCCCGACAACACCTGCCGGGCCTCAGTGAGAAAAGATTGGACTGCATGTTAGATGGTTTTGGGGCTTTAGATTTTTGGAGCCTTTTGAGGGTGATTGAAATTGTGTTGAGATGCCTTTGTTTTTTGTTGGTATGATCTTTGAATCATCTCAATCACCATTGGATTGTTGTGCATTTTATTTGTATTCTGTCTGTTGCTCAGTCTCGTTGGATCGGTATATTATTTATGTCGGATCGGTGGCGTTGTGTTTTCATTGTTTCTCTTCAGTGGCGGTCGCAGTGGGACATTACTGGGACACTATGTACCTTCTCATCTGTGCTACGATTTGCAATATATATATATAGGTATCAATCATTACTAATCATTACATCGGTATAATTAATGTATCACTGTATCTATATAGCAATTTCATGCAATTTCATGTAATTTTATTCCCTACACCGGCCTGCGCCCTACACTGGCTTGCACCCTTGGCTTTCTCCGCCAAGCACGCCACCTGCCAGACGCGACCCGTCGCACGTTCACCCAGTCGCCTGCAGGATCCAGTTTCGGACTCGCGGTTTGGGAATGCCAGGCCTCGGGGGGTTTTCTTCGGCCACCCTGCAGGGTATAAGGCTAAGGCACCAGGCTGCCTAAGGAATGAACAAACTCAGTAGTAGTGCGAGGGCATGCTGGAGTTTGTAAGACTAAAACTGCCAAAGGGTCTGACAGTCTGACAAAAGCTGCTGTAAAAATCCTACGGGTCCATTAGCGTTGTTTCCCTGCAAAACATGCGTCCACACTAGTGGGACATCCAACCCTAGAAAGTAGAAAGCCCAACTACCTTTAACATGTTTGGTCACTAACCTTTGGCGACCCTTGGATGCATGGTGGCATTAAGTGAACAAGGGTGCTATACCGTGCAAACTTTGGGATGTCCTTTCCGGGCAATTTCATACACTCGATTCTTCTGCCTACTTTTGGCGAGGCCCAAGCCCCCTGCCCCTCACCCAATATGTGCTGAAAACCACACACATCTCACGTTTGTCCTCCGCTCGAAATCGATCTTTTCATCTAGCCAGCAGCTGTGCACACCATCGCCGAGCTCCACCAGCTGGGACGATGCGTCCTGCTGTACCGGCTCTGGCGCAACGGTCACCGCGCTGGAGTGCGGCATGCAGGTCGGCGGCAGCACCTGGTGGAGCATGCAGCTGCATTCGGGGCAGGGCTGAGAGAATCTAGCTACTGTTCATCTAGCTACTCCACCTGTGGATCTAGCTACTGTACTCCCAACCTGTGGATCAACTGTTCATGTTGGTTGGAAGAATGGGAGGATATTGGTTGGAAGATCCGGCTGAAGACCGCCGAAGCCGTGCTCGGCCACAGGTCGAAGAATGGGGCAGCCAAGCAGGGTTTTGGATGGTTTTGGTCTTCTGAGGATACAACAACAACAAGAACAACAACAACAGAACCAATTTCTTCAACTTATTCGACTTCTTCAACTTCAACTTAAAGTTTCAACAACAACACCCGGAAAACATCGAACAAAACTCATCCAAAGGCCTTGTACAAGTGTTTCCGGGTACTTCAAATTCAGCTCACCGACTCACCAAGTCAAAACCCTCTCCACACCACCTCGCCGCGCACCAAGACCTTTGGGGCGTGGATGATGGGCGCTGCCAAGTGCGGGCAAGCGTGAGGCATCCTGCGAGGTGTGGACAGCGTGCGTGGGTGTGGCTGAGTGTGGCTGTGTGGGTGTCTGGAGGAAGGGGTCACTACATGAGCCTTGAACCATGGGCCTTTTGGAACCAAAGAGCGGGGGGGCTGTCCATTCACGTTCATTCATCCACTGAGAAGCTTTGGGGGCTATGGGTTTCACGGTGAACTACTCATCAAGTTGTATCTGTTGGATCTGTTCGAAATTGGATCTTGGTTGGCTTCAAAGGTTCAATTAATTAGATTCACCCACCTCCAAGTAGCTTTCGCAAGATCTTCCCTTTCATCTTCAGGAAGGTTCAACGGTACTCCACAATCCTGGTTTGGCGATCTGGACCCCGACCTTATCTGATGCCATTCTCTCACCACCATCTTCAGTCAGTTGCGGCAAATCGTCGGTCTTCAGCCGCAAGTCCCACTTCATCATCCAAAAGCCCCAGTCGCCTACCATCCTCCAAACACCAAAAAAACTGCACATGACCAATAAATAGGGTGCAACCAAACATCTGCCACCCGGATTGAATGATTGTTTTCTCACGTGAGAAATTCATTACCTCTTCCAGCTTCGCCGTTCCGCCGAGCCACAGCAGCAGCCGGTTCCGCCGTGGACTCACCCTCGCCAGCGTGCGTCGTTCCCCGGGCATCACGCCACCCGACGCAGCCAACCTGATACGGCGCACCGGTGGCCCATCACATGGTTTTCACCGGTAAGAATCCGAACCAAACACCAGGGGGACGGCCTCGGTGATGTTCAACCAATATGCCAATATCCATTTGACGTATGAGGCCGGGCCATGGTCTAAGATCCTGACAAAGCCGGAGATGTTGAACTTCCAGCATTTAGGAGGGTCGCACCATGAGGAGGGTCTGTGATGCATGACAGAAAGAAACGGGAAGGTCAACCCAAAATTAAACCTGTTAGACCCTTTTAGTGCTTCCACTTGATAAATCTGGTGTTGAAGACACAGAATTGCTGAAATCCAACAAAACTTGCTTGGCCATACCTGTTCGATAAGCTGCCAAGCTTTTGCACAAATCATTCTTTAGCCACGCCTATGGCCGTGCCTTAATCATCTTATTTTTTTGGTCGTTCACTATTCCATCTACTATGGTCTTCCACTTGGAAAGTCGCCGGTCTAGACAGGTATATCTATCTGTTTGATAGGATTCAGCTTACTCACCCCTCTACAAATGCAGTGTGTTTGGATTCCCTGGTATCCCTAACATTTCAGGAGCAGCAACCCAGCAAAGCATCAACTACATCGTCATGGTTGGTCCCTATGCTTCCACATATGCTTGGCACATGTTCCGCAGTTGTTAATATCCAACATATATACCTACCTGCAAAAGGTAGGGGTTCTGCTCAAACCACAACCACATACATACATGTCACCCAACAAACATTGGCTCAAGTGGCTCAAGCGGTCTTCAAGACCGTTTTTGGGTGATTTTGTTTTACACAATCATTTTCTCCACCTCCTTCAACAGTGTGTGAAAACACTCGAAGCTCTCAACAGCAAGGCGATGGCTTCTTAACAGCGAGGTCGCCGGCGTCGTCGCAGGCTCGTTTTTCGTGGTTCCATCGTGTTCGCCAGCTTTCGTGTTCATCGCCCGTCTCAGAGAAAGCGGAGACCGTCGCGGCCAGCCGCGCATTCACAGTTTTGAGATCTTCTCCGTACGTTCGTATGTGATCGTATATGATGAAATCAATTCAGCAGCACCATGCAACCGCACCAAGTTCTTGCTTAAACAACCTGTACTCCGTGTTGCTGCGGATGCCTTTCTTCCTCCAACAGTCCTACAGTCGACGTCTCATCCTTCCAAAGGGCTCTCTGTCACTCTCCAGGGCTTCCAAGAAGGTTGTCTCACCTTCAGAGTCGAATGAACTGCAGCAAACCACCACCACGGGAGGGGGGTGGTAAATGGATACCCCTTAACTATATACCTGGGGGTCCTGGCAAGTCTTTGGATGCGTGCTCCTGGAGGCTTCTCACTCACTTCACCCCCTCGGATCAGCTGAACGTGGAGTTAGAGCAGATCGGAGAGTGTGGGTGAATGGAGCTGATTAGGTTAGTAGTTTTGAAACCTCAAACTACAACCACGCACGGTTTGAAACCTCAAGTCTTCACCCATTCATCCTTCATCCTTCTATGTGGCAAGAAACTTTCTTGTCAAAGAGTTCTACTTCCATCTACTTCTTCAACTATAAACAAAGTCCTGATCTCTAGTCCAGTTCAAGACTTTCAAGACGGTGTCGCCCACGACCTCCACGAAGTCTTTTCCCTCCACGACCCGAAGAGCCCCAGAAGTACGCCTCCAGAAGAGCAATCACTCAAGTACAACCTCCAGCGAGCGAGAGTGGATGTTTTGTTTGTTTAATGAGCACAGTGCCTGTTAGTTGGGTGAGGCGTTTCTGAGAGTTCTGTGACTCACAGGTGTTGCATACATCTTCTTTGTGGAGGCTGTGGTCTCTGGACGACTGCTGAGCGATTGCATCTTATATTCAACATGTTTTGGGCGTCACTCCCCAGGTTGTCAGCGAGGTCTTCATTGCATGGACCCTGGGGCTGTGCCATTAAAGAAAAGGGGGCTGACAAATTGACCTAGTAATGATTGATTTTGTGATGCTTCAGGTGAGATGCAGAGTAGGCTATTTGAGGTCTTGTTTTCTCCACAACAGAAATCTCCAAACAAATCCACCCTCCAAACGCGGTTCCCAAGCTACAGAGCCAAATTGATTCACTTCCAAGGGTTTCTTCAGGGTTTAGAACATTTCACTCACTTCTGATCTCCTGCAAACTGCAGAAATTGCAAAACTCGAAATTGACAGCTCCATCGTGACCTAATGATATCAAATGTGTCTTTTTTGGGGGGCAACATAGTGTGGTGTTGGTGCCTCTCACCCTCGAGCGGACTCCATGAACACCTTTTCACAGGCATGGCCCCAATTCGACCAATCGAGCAGCAAGAAGGTGTAGGTGGTGCGCAGCCCCTTCTTGTCGGTTCTGGGCCTCGCATAACGAAACGAAGAAACCTGCCTGTAGAAGTACCTGAAATCTTGGATTGTAGGACTTGTAGGATTGAAACTGGATCATGTGGGTACCTTTTTGTTGTCGGGAGGTCGTGCCTTTTCGCTTCCATAGGCATCTCCAGGATTCTTTGGAGAGTCTGCTTTTGCTCACTTTCCACACGACCCAACTAGTTGGAGCTTGAGTTGCCACTATATGAGCACAGTTTGAACTGATGAATGTTAAGAACACAATTGCACAAAGAAGCCTCAAGACTCAAGAACACCATAAGAACCCATGATGCTTTTGGTCTTGGTCCCGTGCCATCCACTCTCAAATCCCGTCCAAACATCTGGAGGCCATGGGACAAGGGCCATTCATCACAAAGGGGGAGAAGTTCATGAAGACCAGAAGGAAAGTACTGAAGAGGTTAGAGTGGACCATCTCTGGTCTTAAGCTTACCAACCCACTTGCAATTTGCAACTGAGCAACCAAGGTGCCCAGTTGGGTCCTAAATCATCCTAATCCTGTAGTAGGTCCTGTATTAGTACCTGAGAGACCCTTAGGAATACTTCCAAAACAATCTTGAGTTCGGGGTATCCGATTCCCAGATCTGTGAGATCCAACCTTGACAACAAACTGGGAGTGTGAACAGATTCTTGCCCTTCTTGCCTCAAACAAACCAAATCGTTGGTCACTGGGGTCTTGGTCACCAAAATCGTTCTTCTTGCAGGTTCTGGGCAAGAGAAAAAGCGGTTCGCCTTATAAAGCACGAGCAGGATCCCAATGTGACTTCCCAACACGTGGCTTCGTAGCGGTTCGAGCGCTTTCGTTTGGCTCTCGGCTCGCCATGTGGCAGGTCGACATGGGCAGGCAAACATCCTCCAGGTTCAGGATAAATCCTAAGGCACTGGAGCTAGGGCACTGAGCCAGGAACACCCTGATGTTTCAGCACTCGACAGACTCATCATTCGAAAGAATAAAGCTGCTTCCTGCGGCTCTAATTGTGAAGAGAGCCCAGAAAAAATGTGGCTGTACCACACTACAAACTCTTCTGACATGACAAAGACATTCACAAATGAACAAAGCAGTTTCACGATTGCGACATATGTGGACTGCTGCTTCACCTTTTGAACAAAGGATAACTAACGGCATAACATGCGGCATATAGAGTTTCTCTTTTACCAGCTGTTCATTGGGGAGGTGTTTTATTGTGAGAGAACCTGTTTTGGGATCAAATTGGGTTCAAGAGGCTTCATCCATTATGCGTGACCACTGACTATGAGACCCAAGCCGCATCCAAGTGCTTGATAGAAAACACAGTTCATGAACATGATCGCTTCAATCATTTAGACATAGGAGGTAGGCCTATGCAAGATCTTGGCACGAAACCAGCAGTCGGAAGCAACCACCCAGGACTCTGACCAAAAGGTGTCATGCGTCATGGGTTAGATCCAAACCTGGGTTTCCTACTCCATAATTGTCGGATGTTGGATACATTCGACTCCTGATTGGTAGAAGGCGAGGTCAAGATGGCATTCCGACTGGTAAATCGATCCGTCTGCCTATCATTCATAATGGAAGCTGACCCTCGACCCGCTTGATTCCAGAAGAAAGGTTCACTTCCAGAAATCCTCACGCCCCACCAGCATGAACATGTTTGCAGGATTTTGACTTTGACGGAAGGTCTTTTGGGGACGTCAACCCCATAAAAACGATGTTTGATTGATAAAACCCCGCATATGAAGCGTCTTGTCCATTCAATTGACGGATTTCTTTTTTACGAAATCAAGTGTCATTCCCGGTCGCTTCCAGTTCTCCCGGCGGACGTTTGCGCGGTGTGCTTGTCCCGAGCCGCAAGAAGCGCACCCGCGACACGGCGGACGAAGCGTCGGGGAGGGCTGCAACACCTGGAGCCAAGAGAGGTGAGGTAATTAACGTGAAAAAGGAACAGAACCTGTAGGGTTCTTATAGAAGAACACCTGTAGCGCTGGGGTTCTTAACCGCGCTGGGGTAACTATAGATGGGATAGGAACCTGTAGGGTTCTGAGAACCTCTGGAGGGTGTAGGAGATTTGGCCCACACCTTGATCCACGCCTTGAAGCTATCTCTCTTGACTTGTAAAGGATCTCAAAGGCAAACAATTGCATCACATTGCTTGGTTGAAAGGTTTCTTTACCTTTTGCTCAGGTGATTCAGTGAGTTCCTAATTTTGGCATTCATCCTATTTCATCCTTCCACTCGAGGGACTCTTGGGGCGGCATATTATTGGGGTGCTTATTTCAGAGGAAACACGCCTATTTGGATACATTTTGCTATAAGTCTGCTCACAAGTGACTTCTCCACGATCCACTCCCCCAATGTTCACCACCAAAAGCCATAATTAGAAAGGCCTTATATAGCCTAAACATCACTACCGTTTTAAGGGGGGGACCTACCCCCCTGGGAAAATGATTTTTTTCATTTATATGTTCATGACGTATGAAAAATAAATTTTCAATTGTTTAGCCTCAACCATGGCCAAATGGCCCCCTGCCTCCCCCAAATGGCCCCTGCCTCACCCAAATGGCCCCTGCCTCACCCAGAACGTTTGGCCAAATGGCCCCTGAAATTTGTTTTTTTCTAAATTGGATCTATTGAAATTGGTGCCACCATCAAATCTAGACACCTAATATTATCCTATAATTACATTCCTCTGATCTTCTGTCCAAATCCCCGGACTTCTAGTGGCGTCACATCTTTTTGCCGAAGCTACCAAAGCCAGGGTCAGTCACTATCGCGGGACGCGACCTGGGCTGCGCAGCAACACGGGACGAACGGTCAGCGAAGTCGCCAATCTAACAAAGTCTTCATTGCTCCTACTGCCTGAAAACATGGCAGGACCTGGCACCTCTCAGCACGGTCTGGCATCTCTGGAACCAAATGACTTACAAGATGTCAAGATGTAATTCAAGAAAACAAGAACTCACTATCGCTCAACATGTTGAAAAAAATGGGCGAGACCCTCCATGTGTATAGGGAATGTTCTGTTTGTTGATGTTTGTTCTACCATGTTCTACCCTTAGGCCAGTCCCATCAAATCTCGTTCACAAATGCTTCACTCAGAAAGGAAATTCCATCCTCAGCGATTGTGGGGCGGGCAAGGAATCAACCACCGCCAAATCCAAGAAGTGTTATTTCCAGCTCTCCAAAAGGTAATAAAACCTCTATTCATAAGCCCCAAAAAACAATCATTTGGTCAACCCCCAGATCGAAAAAACAGACAAAACAACACACATCATCCTTCCTTCTTCTCGTACTTCCTGATCAAGTCTCCTCCTCACGGAGAAGTTGAATATATTTTAATCAGGTATTTCTCCTCAGGAGAGACTTCATCTTGGGAATCCCTCCTCAGAGGGGAAAGATCGCGTTTTTCGGAAATGATTTCGAGATTTCCTCTCGATCAAACATGAATAAACCTCTCATCAGGAGATTGATCACTGTCCACACACTATCACACGCTCCCCAGACCTTCTGACCGACACATGTTGAGCATCCGCGAAACAAAACGACGGCCGGTGGCCTCTCTGCCCAGTTTCTGTCCGAACAGAACAAAATCACATGCTGGACTCTGACGTGTCTGGCCTCTCCGTCCACAGGGCCCTGGCTTGACTTCCCGAAGCATGGGAAGACTCGTCAGGTGGGTTTTTCCTTGTTGAGCCCTGTGATGGTGATGCAATCTGAAGAAACAAAGGACTGGTCAATGCGTAAAACATCGTAAAACATCCTTTGGACTCTGCATGCATCTTAAACAAAACTGACTACTGTATTCGTTCATGATTTTTTGGAGGTTTCGCGTTTGGGGCCGCCGCCATGGTGAATCACAGCAGCTGGCATGGTGAGGTCTCCTAAAGCTGCCAGGAATGGAAAATAATGGAAAATTGGTGACAATTGGTTGGTGGCAGTTTGTTGCTGGCAATTGGTTGGTGGCAGTTTCTGGGTGGCAATTGCTTGGTGGCAGCTTGTTGGTGGCAGTTGGTTCCTGGCAATTGGTGGCAGTTTCTGGGTGGAAGTTTGTTGGTTGATGATGGTTGATGGCAGTTTGTTGGTGACAGTTTGTTGGTGGAAAGCTGGAGGGAGGAGGAGGAAGAGGAGGAGAAGGAGGGAGGAGGAGGAGCAGGAGCGGATACCGCACTAAAAACAAAAATCCAATGTCCATGTGGGGAACAACATCTCAATGGTTGTCAATATGGGCCAATGATTTCTCACATAATAAATATAATGTTCATTGCGAGTAAAGTCGAACAATACCCTGCAACACCCTTGCAACATCTTGGTACTATAGTGTGCAAATTTTACTTCAGAATGGCAATGCGCACGCTTCCCCTGCAGGGGCGATGTCGCGCTTTTCGAATGGAACTGGGCCTCGAACCCACACGAGCTTCTCAAGAACTTAGAGGTAGCATCCTAGGAGTGTTCTCCAAAGCCGCCATCGCCAGCATCTTCAGCTCTTTCGCAGCCTTCGCAGCATCGCTGTCTGGCAAAAGCTGCGCCAACTTTTCGTGAACGTGCCGGCCATAATCTCGCGGCTTGC